TTTTTTGAGATGGAGTCTCGCTCCGTCACCCAAGCTAGAGTGCAGTGGCAGGATCTTGGCTCATTGCACCCTCTGCCTCCCAGGTTTAAGCGATTCTCCAGCCTCAGCCTCCCAAGTAGCTGGGACTACAGGTGTGCACCACTGTGTCTGGCTAATTTTTCTGTATTTTTAGTAGAGTCAGGGTTTTACCATGTTGGCCAGGCTGGTCTCGAACTCCTGACCTCAAGTGATCTGCCCGCCTCAGCCTTCCAAAGTGCTGGGTTACACACATGAGCCACCGCACCCGGCCTTTAAATTTTTATTTTCCATTTCTTTTATACAGACGTACAATATCTTGGCTTTGTCTCCTGTAGCATTTACTTAGTGCTTCTAGTAGGGCTTTTGTTTTAGTATGTTTCTTAGGATTTTCTATATATGCATGTCATCTGCAAATAAACAGTTTTACTTTTCCCTTTCAAATTTTTATTCCTTTCATTTTCTTGTTTTATTGTAGCGGCTGGGCAAGAGCGTTTGGTGGAATACGGAATAGAATTGGTGAACATGGACATGCATTTCTTGTTGCTCATCTTAGAAGGAAGGCATTCAGTATTTTACTGTTAGGCAGAATGTTAAGTTTTTCATGATGCTTTTCATCAGATTGATGTTTCCTTCCATTCTTATTTTGTTGAGAGCCACTCCCACTCCTAGTTCTTATATATATATTTTTAGCTCCAGAATTTCTATTCTGTTTTTTCATGATTTCTTTCTCTTTGTTGGCATTCTCTATCTGGCAAAACATCATTCTTGTTTTCTTTCTCTCTTCTAGAGCAAATCTGTTGCTTAGGCTGGAGGGTAGGGGCACGATCTTAGCTCACTGCAGCATCAGTCTCCTGGGCTCAAGTCATCCTTCTCCCTCAGCATCCTGGGTAGCTGGAACTGGAGGCTACTGTGCCAGGATTTTTATTTTTATTTTTTGTTGAGACAGTCTTAATATATTGTTAAGGCTGGTCTCAGACTCTTGGCCTCAAGCGATCCTCCTGCCTGGGTTTCCCAAAGTGTAAGGATTAAAGAAGGCATGCCATTGCATCTGGCCTACTTTAATTTAGGCATGGTTCATTTTAGTTCTTGGAATATATTTATAATAGCTGATTTAAAGTCTTTAGTAAGCCCAAAACTCAGGAATAGTTTCTGTTCGTTGCTCTGTATCATATGTATGGCTCACACTTTCATGTTTCTTTGAGTATCTTGTAATTTTTAGTCAAAAACTGGACATTTTATATAATGCAGCAACTGTGGAACTTGGATTCCCCCCACTTTTCAGGGCTTGTATCTGGGTTTTTTTAATTTTATTTTATTTTTGCTGTTATTATTTGCTTAGTGACTTTTCTTAACTAATTCAGAAAAGTTTGTATTCCTTGTTGTATGTGGCTACTGAAGTCTGGTTAACTTCAGCTAATGATTAGACAGAGATTTCCTTAAATGTCTAAAATCAATAAAATCAGTCTGCTGAGGAGGCCCCTTTGTGTGTTGGCACTTGATAGCTTTGCCTTAGTCTTCACTTTCTGGCATGCAGAGCCTTAAAGGCCAGCCTGAGTTAAGAGCATAGGGCCCGTGTCTTTCCTAGGCACAGCCATAGCCTTGCACATGCACGTAGTGTTCTAGGTTCTCAGGAATACGTTGGAGTTTTTCAGACCCCCATGAACATCTCATTCTCTGACTCTTAAGTGTTTTGGTTAGCCTATTGTTTACCCTGGCTGTTATCTACCGTCTCAGGCAGTGGAGAGGTTAATCACTTTCGTGTGTTTTTGACAAGCCTGTACCTTCTCTCTCACTCAAGTCAGGTCAAATATAGACAGCTTTCCGAATGGAGTCTCCCAGAGAACCAGCAGATAAGTCAAACAATGACAGTTATTTGGGAATGAGACTTTTAAGGAGCTCCAACCTTGCTCTTTCCCTTCTAGTGGCTGCCAGGCAGCTAGTTTGCACTATGAGTGTATGCGTTTGGTTTGCAACACTACCGTAGAGCTTGATGAGGAGAATGAGAATAGAATAAGTTAAAATGTCACAAAGCCTACTGTTCTTACCTAAATTCAGCTATTTTTTTTTTTTAATAAATGTTTCCAGATTTCTACAAGCCTTTGGCTAATTTCCAAGGTTCTTTAAAAGTTGATTCTTACATCACTTGAGCCTGGGAGGTGGAGGTTGCAGTGAGCTGAGATTGCACCACTGCACTCTAGTCTAGGTGACAGAGCAAGACTCTGTCTCAAAAAAAAAAAAGTTTATTCTTACAGTTTTTCCATGTTTTCTTGTTGCTTTTATGGAAGAGAGTTACTTTGCTGTATTTGCTGATATCACTCTCCATAGCATTTTTAGTAGGAATGAATATTAATAATAGTAGCTTACATTTTGATTGCAATCTGCAAGTGCTTTATTTATGTAATTTATTAATAGCAAATATTATCTACATGTAATATATGGTAATTTTAGAAGACATATCCTACTCCCTTTAAAATTTTTTACATTGGTCCAGGCACAGTGGCCCATGCCTGTAATCCCAGCACTTTGGGAGGCTGAGGCAGGTGGATCACAAGGTCAGGAGTTCGAGATCAGCCTGACCAACATGGTGAAACCCCGTCTCTACTAAAAATACAAAAATCAGCTGGGCGTGGTGGTGCATGACTGTATCCCAGTTACTCAGGAGGATGAGGCAGGAGAATCACTTGAACCCGGCAGGTGGAGGTTGCAGTAAGCCAAGGTCATGCCGCTGCACTCCAGCCTAGGCGGCAGTGTAAAAGTCCATCTCAAAAAAAAAATAATAGTAAATAAATTAAAAAAATAAAAATTTAAAATTAAAGCATCTACAATGAAGATTTTCTTGCTTTACAAAAACTATTCTTAGTTTTGGGTAGAGGGGATATACTTTTTTTTTTTTTTTTTTTTTTTTTTTTTTTTTTTTTTTTTTTTTTTTGAGTCTGAGGTCTTCCTCTGTTGACCAGGCTGGAGTGCAGTGGCATGATCTTGGCTCACTGTAGCCTCCGCTTCCCAGGGTTAGGCAATTCTCTGCCTCAGCCCCTGGAGTAGCTGGGATTACAGGTGCGTGCCACCACTCCTGGCTAATTTTTTGTTTGTTTGTTTGTTTGTTTATAGTAGAGACAGGGTTTCACCATGTTGGCCAGGCTGTTCTTGAACTTCTGATCTCGTGATCCACCCTCCTCAGCCTCCCAAAGTGCTGGGGTTACAGGCTTGAGCCACCACGCCTGGCCTGGGGTATATTTTTTTTAAAACAGAAATGGGAATGCTGACTTTGTGAAATTGACCTTGTGAGAAAACAATGTTTAATCTTAAATTTTTTTTTTTTTTTTAGGGAACACCAGGCACTTATTTGACTTCTCATAATCAGGCTTCCTACACTCAAGAAACACCTAAACCCTCAGTGGGATCTATCTCTCTTGGACTGCCACGGCAACAGGAATCTGCTAAATCAGGTCAGTGAGTTAATACAGTCATAATGTGCATAATGTGTCTACGTTTGTAACATCACAGCCAGTAATTTAGTACTGGGTTGCTTCATGTTTCTCTGCCTTTCCACAGCTACTTTGCCCTACATCAAGCAGGAAGAATTTTCTCCCCGAAGCCAAAACTCACAACCTGAGGGTCTATTGGTCAGGGCCCAACACGAAGGTGTAGTCAGAGGTAAAATATGCTGTTTGGCAGAAATACTAAACTTTTGTCCCCAATAAATTTATTAAAGTAAATTATTAATATATTTTAATGATTTTAATATTTTTTAACTATAGTCTTTAAATTCTAAATTTGTTTTCTATCCTTGTAAAAGTTATTTTAAAACTTTGAAATTCCATGTTTCAGCAGTTCTTTAGTGTTATTTTGGAAGTACCTTTTAATGAAACAAACATCATGGTTTTTGTGCTGCTTTCTCCTTTTCTTCTTATTTGAGTAAGAAAGTAGGGGCTGTTTTTTTGTGTTTTGGGGCAGGGGCTGGGGGTGTAATTTGCTAATAGCTTTGTTTGTATTCAGGTACCACAGGAACCATACAAGAAGGAAGTATAACTCGGGGAACTCCAACCAGCAAACTTTCAGTGGAGAGCATTCCCTCCCTACGGGGCTCTATCACTCAGGTTCGTTATGATCATCTCTAATATACTGAACAGAAGCTCAGAAAAAATGAGAAGTAATTCTTAGCACTGGGCTATCAGTTTTGTGGCTTAAGCTCATTTTTCTGCATTATGGGACTGGATCTCAGTGGTAGTAAAACCTAGATCTACAAACTATCTGCGCAGAGACGTTAATGTGATCATTTTGACTGCAAGCTATATTATGTATATTTTGGTTCATTTGAAAAGGTCACTTACTTGCAAATTGGAAGAAGAAATATGTTCTAATTGATGCAGCTCTTATTGTCTTCCTGGAAAAGCTTTTACCATGTGTTTAGCCTAAATAGAAATTGAGAAGAAAGCCATTACAAATTATTTCCTTACTTTTGCCCTTGTGGAGAGGTAGCTCTAGAATCTCAGTATGTGAGCTGCCTTATTAGAATCTAATGCTAAACCAGGAAATGTGGATGGCATTAACAGAAGCACCAAAAATCTTCCAATTTTAGGTTAAATAAATCACCAATTTTGATTAATAAAATTTCTCTCAGTTAATTTTAACTTGAAATATAAAAAGTTCTTTTTTTTTAATTTTTTGTATCTTTTTAAAAAGTTCTTTATGTATATGCACAAGAGGGAAGATTCTGTTTTAGGAAATCATTGTGAACAGAAACTTGTGTCTTGTATTTTCTAAAGTGTTCGTTCATTGTCACTCTGTTTCTCTTTGACTTGTTCCTATTCTCTAGGACAGTTGTTCTCAAAGTGTGATCCCCAGACCAGTAGCATCAGAATCACCTCAAAAATGTCTATCAGTTCCCTAGGTGATTCTGATGCTACTGGCAGAAAAGTGCTGGCAGCAGGCATTGCAATTTTCAGACATATAAATTCTCAGGGCTTACATCAGATTTACTGAAACCCAACCCTTGTTGCTGGGGCCTGGCAATGTTTTCCCAAGCCCTTCAGTGATTCTGCTAGGGCCTTACTGGCCAAGTGTGGTTTGTGTAGCAGAGCATTGGCATCACTGGGAAGCTTGCTAGGATAATGCAGAAATGTCAATCTCCATTCTAGATTATGTGAATCAGAATCCCCATTTTAACGAGATTCCCAGGTGGTTTCTTTCTGAGATGTAGTTCACATACAACTTCCTTGAAGGTTAAGTTAAAAGCAGAAGAAAAGGGCCAGGCGCAGTGTCTCATGCCTGTAATCCTAGCACTTTGGGAGGCAGAGGTGGGTGGATTATGAGATCAAGAGATTGAGACCATCCTGGCCAACATGATGAAACCCCCTGTCTACTAAAAATAGAAAAATTAACTGGATGTGGTAGCGGGCACCTGTAGTCCCAGCTACTCGGGAGGCTGAGGCAGGAGAATCGCTCAGACCCGGGAGGCAGAGGTTGCAGTGAGCCAAGATTGTGCCACTGCACTCCAGCCTGGTGACACAGCGAGACTCTATCTATTAAAAAAAAAAAAAAAAAAAAAAAGGAAGAAAGTTACATACTGATTTGTAAAATCTCTCCTTTTACAGTTGGTCAGTTGTTTCTATTTTTACAAGGTAATGCTTTAAAATGGACAGAGGAAAATAAATGGGCCTATAGTATTATTTTTGTCTCTTCACACTAGTATCCAAACTGTGGGAAGAAAGACAGGAGGAACTGGGCCAAAGGGGACTAAATTTTATCTGTTTTAAAATCTGTGCATTTGACATGAGTACTTCTGAAGTGGGTATTAGGGATTTCTAGATGTTTACTAATGAGTTCACTTAATGACTGGACAAGTAAATGTATGTCTCTTACCACTTTTCTTAAGCATATAGTATCAGATCATGCTCTCTAGGATTTTAGCAGTCCTCAGAGTATAGTGGTGACCCCAAATGTGGGAGTAAACTCAGTCTAGGCCTCTAACTCCTTTATTATGCCAAGCTGCTCTCTCTTGCAAATGCTCTACATATTAGGTTCTATGAACTATTTCCCTTGAAGGAAGAGCTCACTGCATAAAAGAAGAATAAAAAGAAGCGTGGTCACTGGCAACCTAGAGGAGGATTGATGATGGTGAAAATTTAGATAATCTGACCTAAACTGAATCAGTGTTACAACACGGAGGCATCCAAAGGCCTAACAACCTAGTAGTCAGTTTGATATTCGAAAGCTATTTTTCCCTCATATCACAATTTGAGAGAACGTTGTAGTACTCTAAATTTAAAACTTAATTTATCATCTTATTTTTATTAGGTTGGTGCAAAACTATGGTTTCGTACTGTGAATTTTAAATCATTGTAACTAGTCTCAAACACATCTTTATCAAAATAGGAACTATTACAATCAACACATTTTTTGCCAATGAGAAATAAGTTTGTTTATTCCTATAGCATAAAAATCCATGTTTCGAGATTCGACAAACTCTTCATTTCCTTTATTTTTTCGACAAAAAAAAAAAAAAGATCGTGGTGCGATCTCAGCTCACTGCAACCTTCGCCTCCCAGGCTCAAGTGATTCTCCTGCCTCAGCCACCCAAGTAGCTGGTATTACAGGTGTGTGCCGCCATGCCCAGCTAATTTTTGTATTTTTAGGAGAGATGGGGTTTCGCCATGTTGGGCAGGCTGGTCTTGAACTCCTGGCCTCAGGTGATCCACCCATCTCGAACTCCCAAAGTGCTGGGACTACAGGTATGAGCCACTGCGCCAGGCCATGGAAAGCATTCTGCTTGTTGTGGAAGCATTTTCCCTGCATAAAGCTGTTGAGATGCTTGAAGAAGTGGTAGTTGTTTGGTGAGAGAGACGTCAGATGAATATGGCAGATGAGGCAAAACTTCATAGCCCAATTTGTTCAACTTTTAAAGTGTTTGTTGTGTGACGTTCGATCAGGTGTTGTCGTGGAGAAGAATTGGGCCCTTTCTGTTGCCCAGTGCTGGCAGCAGGCATTGCAGTTTTCAGTGCGTCTCATTGATTTGCCGAGCATACTTTTCAGATGTCATGGTTATGCCAGGATTCAGAAAGCTGTAGTGGGTCAGACCGGCAGCAGACCACCTTTTTGTTGGTGTAAGTTTGGCTTTGGGAAGTGCTTTGGAGTTTCTTAGTCCAGCCACTGAGCTAGTTGTCACCAGTTTTTGTGTAAAATCCACTTTTCATCACATGGCATGATTTGATTGAGAAACGGTTTGTTGCCTAGAATAAGAGAAGACACTTCAAAAGGACAATTTTTAAAAATTTCACTCAGCTCATGAGGCACTCACTTATTGGAGCTTTCTCACCTTTCCAATTTGCTTCCAATGCCAAACAACTGTAGAATGATGGATGTTGAGTTCTTTGGCAACTTCTTGTGTAGTTATAAGAGGGTCAGCTTCAGTGATTGCTCGCAATTGGTCATTGTCAAATTCTGATGGCCGACCACTACACACCTCATCTTCAAGGCTCTCGTTTCCTTTGCAGAACTTCTTGAACCACCACTGCACTGTATGCTCGTTACCAGTTTGTGGGCCAAATGCGTTGCTGATGTTGTGAATTGTCTCCGTTGCTTTATGACCCATTTTGAACTTGAATAAGAAAATCACTTGAATTTGCTTTTTATCTAACATCATTTTCATTGTCTAAAATGAATATAAAATAAACAGCAAGTAATAAGTCATTAGCAAATAAAGTGAGAAATGTGCATTAAAACGATACATAGCATAACAACATTCATAAGAGAAAAGAACATAACCACATTTATTTAAGAATATATTCCAGTATCGCCGGGCGCGGTGGCTCAAGCCTGTAATCCCAGCACTTTGGGAGGCCGAGGTGGGTGGATCACGAGGTCAAGATATCGAGACCATCCTGGTCAACATGGTGAAACCCCGTCTCTACTAA